TGAAAGGCGGGGGGGGGGGGGCTTTTCAGAGGCTAGAGTGCCACCTTTGAGGGAAAAATCTGTAAAGAGATGCCCTTCTTGGAGGTAGGCAGTCTTGGTTGAGATTTGCTGATCTGTCCCCATTTTTCCAGCAAGGGGACCAAAACTAGTGCCTTCTTCTGCAGCGCTGAGCATAAATGGTCTTTGCTGGATTCCACAGGCCTGGTTGTCTCGACAGTTGTCTCTTCCCACCAAGTTTTGCTAGAAATGACGGTGACCATTTTCGTGCAGCCCCTCCAAGCCCGTGGCTTCTTCAGAGGAAGAGGAAGGGCCCCCTCTGGTGTTCTGCTGCAGGAGGAGGCTGGCCGGATGCCAGCAGATAAAGGACCCTTGGCTGGAAGAGGGGGACGAAGCTTTGGCCGGCCCAATCTTTGTCCAGCGTGGGCAGTGAACTCCTTAACTGCCTCCCCCATAGCCCAGTAGTTTGGGGACAGTGCCTCTGAGGGGAGGTTGACTATAGGACTGGGTCATGTGTGAAGCATCAAAGCTCCACAAATTGTAAGGATGCAGCTAAGTTCTCCTTTTCAGGTAGATTTGGAGGAGAGGTTGACCCTCAGCTGTATTCCAAGGGGTGTGAACATAGGGCTCCCCCATTCTAAGCCCTCTCCCAGCCGGTGGATTGGGTCCGCTGCTGCGTTCATGGGGTCCCTGTGCAGGATCTTTGGAGAGGAGACTGATGGCCATGGAGCCAGACACAGTCAAGAGCAGTAAGGAGTCCAAGGGGCAAATCTGGGGCTGCTGTTGGAGGAGGGTGAGACCTCTCTAATCAGGCCATGCTAGCGGAATTCCGGGGGTGCCAAGAGCACCATGTTGGAGGAGGCCAGTCTACAAACTGGCTAAGGATCAGGAATGTTGAGTTTCCCTCCCAGTGTTGGGTCCTGATGAACTGAGCAACTGTTCTTCAACACTGTCCAGACCCCAGAAGGAAGTATCACGTCCGGCTGCTGGCGTACAACAGCATGGAGGAAGGCTATGAGGCAGACCAGACTGTCAGCACCCCCGGCTGCGTGTGTGAGTCTCCAGCTCGCTTTTCTGCTGCAATGGTTGCTTTCAGAGGCTTTTTAGGTTATGCAGACATTGTGAAGTCTGGGAATGGGATGATGTGGATTCAGAATAACGGATGGTTGGCTTGAAGCTTTTCTGTCCTGTTCCTTAGCCCCAAATGCCCCTGCTGCAATTTACAGGGGTCGGTAACGAGGCAGTCTAAAGAAAGGGTAGTTGGGAGGAGGAAAGCAGTCTCAGGCACCGGGTCTTGATTGCTTTGGGCTAGGGAAAAATTGGCGTGGTGTGGCTTGGCGTGGCGTGGCGTGGCGTGGGGGGCTCTTCGCTGGTTAGACTTCCGATGCTGAGCCATCAGGTCACCACTACTCCTTGGGAAAGGCAGGACCCTGATCTGGCTCTATCACGCTTGAGGCACTCTCCTCTCTCTGCAGCTGTCCGGGACCGCCTGGTGCCACCCCCTCCGCCACCCCACCATCTTTATGCCAAAGCAAACTCTTCCTCCTCCGTTTTCCTGCACTGGGGGCGGCCCGCCTTCACTTCAGCACAGGTCATCAACTACACTCTCCGCTGTCACCCCGTGGGGCTGCAGAATGCTTCCCTGGTCCTCTATCTTCAGACGTACGTAGTTCTTCTCCGCCTGCTCCATCCTTGCCTTGCGTCCCCTCCAAGGAGCTGGTCGGGACCCTTCCCGCTCAGACAAGGCAGGATCAGGGACTCAGCTGTGGTTCAGAAGGTGGCTCCTGCACAAGCCAGGCCTTCTCCACAGATGTCTTTGTTCTCCAGGCCTGGTCCTTGGACAGGATGTGGTCTTGAGGAGGCCTGGCGACTAGCCTGCATGAAGCACCAAGCCAGCTAATCTAGGTTATAATGTGCTTAAGATAAAAGATCTCATATGTAGCAATCTCTCAATGGGGACGTTGGGATTTGGCCATGGCCTTTTGTGGGTGCTGGTGGTTCAGTGTGAATAGACTGCCTCTGCCCCTACTACCTCAGTTACAGGACGTGGGCCTGCTGGCAGCTGGAGAAGCAGCCCAGGGCTTCTGGCTGGGAAGACCCAAGGGGAACTCTTCCGCTGGTACCGGCCAGGCTAATGCTGCACTTCCTCCCAAAAGAACCTCTCCTGTGGCAGGGTTGAAGCGTGTCCTCCCTGTTGTACACTCAAGGAGGACTGCAAAAAGCAGCAAGCAGGGATCCAGCGCTGTCCCTCTCCCACTAATCTGTTCCTTATGTCCAGGTCAGAGACTCACTTGACGGTCCAAGGGTTGGAGCCAAATACCAAGTATGAGTTTGCTGTTCGGCTGCATGTGGATCAGCTCTCCAGCCCGTGGAGTCCGGTGGTTTACCACACCACCCTCCCAGAAGGTGAGGAAGAGGCTGCCCGGCACCCCTTGACTGAGGATCCAGCCGGCCCACAGGGGAACCCCACTGCTCTCCTCTGCGTGCTGGAAGGGTTGGGGACAAGCAGGTTCCCCACACAGCCTCTCGGAGTCTACCAGATGAGGACTCTGGAGGCACAGACTCTGGAGGTTTCCATTGGTGGCCTGTCCATGCCCACAGCCCCAGCCGGTCCACCACTGGGAGTGAAGGTGACGCTGATTGAAGAGGACACAGCCTTGGTCTCCTGGAAGCCACCGGCTGGCATCGGAATCCTCATCTCCCGCTACACCATCCTTTACACATCCAGGAAAGCTTGGATTGCAGGCGAGTGGCAAGTCCTGCATCGGGAAGGTGAGTGGGAGCCTGCAGACTCTGAAAGTTGTGTGCTGACAGTAGTGCCCTCCCACCTTCCTGGTCCTTGCTTATTTGTGCAGCCCTGGCCTTGTGGCTGCTACACGCATTGCCCCGGAGGCAGCCCTGGTCTGCCGGGCTGATGGAATCTGGGGCTTCAAGTGAAGCATTTGAAGCACAAGTAAAACACTGGAATTTGGTTTACAAAACTTGGGACGCTCTCTTTTACAAGTCCCGCTATGATAATGAGAGGTGCTTTGCTGCCATTCTGTAACATGATGTCTTATTGGTCAGTCATAGATCTCTTAGTGAACTTGTGCTATGATGAAGAATCTCAAGAAGAATCAGAGAGGGAGCAGAGGTGCTGTGCCAGGCACCGTGCAGTTTGGCACTGGTCATCCAAGGAGACAATAATGGTTGGCACATCATCTTGTCTCCTTCCTCCCTGCAGGAACAATAACCATGGCTTTGCTGGAGAACCTCAGGGCAGGAAATGTCTACCTCATCAAAATTGCTGCATCCAATGAAGTTGGTGAAGGGCCTTTCTCTAGCGCGGTGGAACTTGCAGTCCTGCCAAAGGAGCCATCAGAGTCAAACCAAAGACCTAAACGCCTGGATTCAGCAGAGGCTGACACAAGTGAGCCCCACGTCTCCCAGCCCAGCCTGCATGCATCACACGGCCCCACTGCTCACTGGCTGCCATGTCCTTCCACCCTCTATCCTACAAGCTCTTCTCATCCTAGAAAGGGCAGCTTGGCAGCCTGGCACAGTGTGTAGTGTGTTTTCTTGCTGTGGGTATCTCCCCGAGGGCACTGGGATAGACGTGCCTGTTTCCTTGTTCCAGCTCTTTCTGGCTCTTACCAGTTGGACCAGAAGTCAATGACGGGCATAATTGCAGGTGTTTCCATTGCTCTGGTATGCATCTTGGTCTGCGTCCTTATCCTGATCTACCGTGGCAAAGCAAGGTAAGACCTGTTGGCTGTGTGTGTGTGAAAGGCTGGGTGGGAAGTATCAGGCCCACAGCACCAATGCAGGATATGAGAGTGCATTGATATTTGTGTACACAGACCAGTAGCAAATCCTTACTGGGATGTGTGCAAAGTCATAATAGTTTGGTCCCAGCTTTTCGGGACACAGTCAGAATGACCCAGTGACTACTGGTCAAGCTCTTGTTTGGCTACCCCATTCTGACCATAAAGGGAGACTGCTTGGGCAAACTTTCTTTCTCTTAACACACTCCTGCAGTGGACTTGTACATTTCAAAGGAGTGGTGGATGGAAAAGGCGAAGATCAGAGGTCAGAGGGGGAGTTGTAACGATAGGAGGGAACTCGTATATGTGCAGCTTCCTCTTCCTCCCTGCCCCTCTGCCCATAATCTGATGCCTAGTCAGGGTCAGATCCAGCGCTTACATTGCCAGTGGACATGCCTTTGTTCAGAATTTGGTTGCTGTAATTGGAGCTTAGCAAGCAGTCAGCCTTCAGCTGGAGGACATTGGTCTCCACCGGCAGGCCAACGTCTGACTTCCTCTTGCCCAGGAAAGCAACACCTTCAAAAAGCAGCCGGTCCAGCCCCGATCAGCTCGCTCGCAGCCACCACTCTTCTACGAGGGCCGACGAGGGAGCCAAAACTCTGGAAGGCTTGGCGGAGAATGAGGAATCTCTGTTGCCCACGATGGTAGGGAGCAGCTTTCTGGATGCCAAGGTACAAAGGACATGTTTGCTTTTCTGGTTCATTTGCAATTTTTGAGGTGGCTTATAGCAAAACAGTTAGTTAATCCCACTGAAGAATCACACAAAGGAAGTTCAGCAAATGAGGGCACCAGACAGATCTCATGGGACAAGGTCTTCCATGGTCTGGAGGCCACCATGGAGAAGCCCGACAGTCCTGCCTTTGACCTGGACAAAGAAAGGGAAGACCTCTCCAGTGGATCTTAAGAGGGAATGAGCAGGCTGGATCAAGAGGAGGTTCCCCAGGTGTCCTGGATCTAAGTCCCCAAGGGATTGAGGGAAAGGAAAGGAATAAATATTCCTTTGATAGGAGGGTGTTTATGCCTTGACGTGAGATCAAATCAATGTAACTGTCCAACCCAGCCGTATATGCAGCACGTTTTATTCATGTGTGATTGTAAATCAGTGTGGGAAAAGGCCTCCTCCTGCCTGATCTTCCCAGCTTTTTAAAATCTTGGAGAGAGGTCCTCACGCAGGAGAGCAGCAAAGGCCTTTCGGTTCAAGGGGCACTTGGTTGACTCACTGCTAAAGTGGTTTCATTCAGCTGGGATGTGATGTCTTTTGCCTTTGGGTCTGCCCTTACTTGTGTTGTGGACTCCATGTTTGGTGGTTTATCTGCATTTTTTAGTATTAGCAGCAACTGGTGGGATAAACATTCCAAGAAAGGAAATTAGATGCCTCCATAGCCTCATAGAAGGACTGTGGCTACCTTTCCACTAGCTGCTCTTGGGGAGAGTTCCTTGGGCCTCTTTGTCCTCTGGGCAGAAATCCAGGTTCCTTGCAAATGAGATGGGCACTAAGGAGTTGCAAGACTTAAACCACTGTCCACTGCATGCTTACCCAGGAGTAAGTTCCATGAAGTGCACCCGGATAAGAGTGTCCAGGGGTGTGTCCTCAGACCAAAGTTGACCTATGGGGAGTGGTCCTGGGAACCAGTCTGTGGGCCTGCCCTGCCTCCCTCCCCTTTTTCCAGTCAGTAATACAAGAGTCTCTTCCCCTTTTAGGGTGGAACTGACCTTATTATAAACCGCTTTGGTCCAGTCACAAAGAACAGCGCCAAGAAGAAATGGCTCTTCTTCCATCGCTCTAAGAAGGAGAAAGCAGAGGAGGTGAGAGCACAGCCTCTTGGTCCAGGGCAGGAGAAGTCTGCCTTCCCTTGCTGGGCCCACACTTCCATTCCCTGGTTCCTCCCCCATTACACTAAGGTGCCTGGAAAAGCGGGGTGGTGGGGTCTCCTAGCCGGTCATTCCTGTCCCCAACCATGCTCTCCAGAGGTGGCAGCCGAACCAAAACATCTATCTTGCAGCCGTGAAGCCCTTGCTTCAGATCTCGCCTCTCCTGTGAGTTCCCTCAACACCCCTGGGCAATCCCCCCTCCCTCAGCCTGGCAGTACCTGGGCAGGAAGTCCAGCTTACCTCACAGGACCATTGTGTGGTTGCAGCTAGGCGGCACGTGCAATTCTTGCAAGTGTTGGGCAGATTGTGCTCTTGGATTGCTTGCAAAGGGACTGGGCTGCCCCTGGGCTGCAGGCTTCCTTGAAGATGGAAGGTGAGGCATCCTTGAGTCCCAGCAGGCTTTGCCAGAGCAGGGGCAGGCCAGGCCCCTGAGAATTGGAACTGGTAGGGCAAGTGACCTTTAGGGTGCCTGGGCTCATGCTACCCACCTGCATGTGCTGGGAGGGGTAGCAGGGCGGTTCTCTCCAGCTGGCATCTCCAGGGCCCTCTGGACCTGGAGCAAACGCTGCCAGAGCTCCCGGGGCAGAGCAGTCGCTTGTTTAATTTCTCCTGCTCCTTTAGAGAAATCTTCCCTCGGGATCCTCAGTCACAGATACAGGTAATGTGCAAGGACCCAGTCACTCTGCGCAGCGAGGACAGGTGCCTCAGGGGCTCCCCCCGGCAGCAGGTTGGCCCAAGAAGAGAAGGGGTCCCGTTCCCAAGTGTTGCATTCAGCCAAAGTTGCGAGTGAGGAATGCTCCATTCACAAAGCTGAACTAGCCCGTGCTCAGAATGAGCCGCATCAGACATCCGGGTTTTGTTCTTCCTGCAGGCCCCAAGGCGACTGGCTTCAGCATCGTGCCGGTACCGGTCAGGGGCAGCCGTGCTGATCGGCGAGGAGCAGCAGCTGAGTAAGCGAGTGACCTGCAGCCTGGGGACCGACACAGAGCATTCAGCCAACAGCCAAGGCAGCCACGAGACCGGGGATTCGGGGAGGTTCTCCCACGAGTCCAACGAGGAGCTGCACCCCCCTGCCGGCTTCGGGGCCGCGGATCCCTTTCCAGGCAGTGACTCGCACTTGACAGCTGGGTGTCCTGTCCCCAGGCCGCTCCAGCCGCCACCGGTTCCTCCTTGTGGGCCGCTGGCAGGCGACGGCGAGGGGGCATCTTGCAGGGGACAATGAACCGGGAGGCCGAGCTTCCAGCGGGATGCCCGAGGACCAGCAGGCAGCCCATGTTTCCGTCGCCTCTTTGTGTTTTTCTTTCCTTGTGAATGTCTGGCGCGCAAAAATGTGAAAGGAGAGCAGGAATCGCCCTCTTCTCCGTCACTGGAGCAAAGGTGGCCCCTTTGCTTGGATATCTACCTCAGTTTGCCAGAGGCAAACTCCAAAGAAAGCAATCGCGTTACCTCATTTGCTCGCGTGGAGGAGTTGCCCTTGGCTGTGCTGCCGATGATGACGACTTCCTAGCGGCCCTGTGTCCTTTCCCCCCAGAATGTGCAGAGCGCGAGTGTGTGCGTGTGAGCCAAGGAGTTGTGTTGGGAAGCAGAGGGGGCGGCCCCACTGGCCTGGGGAGGAGTGCCCGAGGGGCCGGGGCAGAGGGCGCAGGCGGCTCTGCCTCCAAGCCCTGAGGGCCCCACCTGCCTTGACAGTGCCTTCTTCTGGTGTCCATGGTTGGGGGATTGGAGGCCCTTTCCCCCCCGCCTCCGCCGTGCCCTCTTGACCAGATGGTTCCCCCAGTTTGGCCAGGCCAGGGGATAGCCCTGGCAGTAACGGTGCCTTCCATTAGAGATAGCACGAACTCACTGCTTGCCTTATTTGTGAAGTTTCTCCGGAGTACAGAAAGAGGCCTTACGTGTGCTCTGCAGGTCGGGTCTGGGGTCCCCCACAGGTTTCCCCAGCAGGTCCTAAGCATTGGGAGGCCTTTGGCTTGGGACACAGCCCACAGGTGGGCGCTCTGCATGGGCGCATGAGCTCTGGCGGAGCCCCTCTCCCCTAAAGGCACAGTGGAGCGCCCCTCTTGGAAAGAGCCTTGTTCCCACGCAACTCCTGTTTTATACTACCTCCGTTTAAAGTTATTCTAGTGTTATTGTTTTCCTGTACTCAGGGTGCAGTTTGTTACTTTTAAGCTGTCTTGCGCGTTGTGAGGCAAACTGACAGGGTATCTCGTGTTTTGTTTTGTTTTGAAGTTGACGAGTGAGCGAGCGCGCAAGTGATCGAGTGAATGTGAGCAAAAGAGAGAGGTCCGTGTTCGCCAAAGCTGTAGGCGGCTGGTGCAGTTCCCTTCTGTTTCCACTTAGAAAAGGTGTGTTGAAGCATCCCAGGTGTGACTCCCTGGGCCTCTTGCAGATGACAAGAGATGCCCGGTTAGGGTGGTAGGATGTCAGCCTGAAGGGTGGTGGGCTTGCTGAGCCCCTTCCCAGCTCTCCCTGTCCCTCGCCTGACGGCAGCGAGCTGGCCTGCGGCCTTGGAAGAGACTGGAGGCCGCTCTGTTGGCTGGCCAGTGGTGGCCAAGGCAACACTGCCTTTCCCACCACTTTCTGATGCAAAGGCTTTAAAGGAAATAATAATCTTGTACCAAAGAATGTTCTGTGGAAAAGCTGCATATTTTCCCCAAAAGATAATTGAGCTAGTTAAAAACTATAGCATTGAATGATTTTATTGCCTAAGTAGATGTTAACCCAAAGGAGCCGAGAACCAAATGCAGAATAGGAGCGGACCGGGTAGGCTAGGCTTACAGTGTGACTACGGCTGCCAGAATCTTTTTATGAAAGTGGAGTAAGACCTTCTCAGCTCCAAAGATTTCAAGTGTAATTTTGTTTTCCTCTCCTTCAGCAATTCTATTGAGTAGTAGAGAGAATATTTCTAGATGTTTTATATATCCTTGCTGAAGAAAAGGACGCTCGTCTTGCCAAAGATTGATTTGGGGGTCTTGTTGGGCAAAGCTGAGGCTGCCGCGCCGTGAAATAACGCCTGCTCTCGCAGGCGGCTTTTGGGCGGCTTGCTGAGCTTCGTCGCAATACACTCCGAGGGCCGATGTGCTGTGGTGACCCCCTTCTTCTCCAAAGACTTGTTTGCTGTGAATATTGACACTTTCCGACCTCTTCCGGGTAGGATGAGGCAGCGCCAGGGCCCCTCGTTTACAGCAGCTGGGGCGGAAGGACCCACTCGGAGCCCCTCCCGGGTGTCCTGCGCGCGCCGGACCCCCTTGCCGGCCACAGGGGGGTGGGCTGGAGCGGCGGCTTTCTGGCCAGGGGAGATTCCCTGCAGCTGGCCCGTCCGGCGGGCTGCCTCGGGTCCTTTTCTCCCGAGTCCCCAAAGAGTCAGCTCCAGAGGGGGTGATCTGCGAGTGCGGGAGTGGTGTCGGTCCCAGGTTGCGTTGCAGCAAATGAGGAAAACCAAAGATGTGTACGGTCCCCTCAGCGCTGGGGCCTGTGCTGGACAGGCAGGTGACCTTTCTTTGCTTTCGCCATTCTTTTCTCTCGAATCGGCACGTTCTTTTCCTGCGCCTCCCCCGCCTGTATCCGGAGGGGGCTGGTGGTCTTTCCTTCCTCTTAGGGCAAGCTTGGGTGGGCCTGGGGTGGGGGCGAGGTTGACTCTCGCCGGGAGGCTGCTTTTCGGAGCTGGGGAGGACTTTCCTAGCAAAATTGCTGCTTTCCTGCCCTCTTCTTTTGAACCCAGTGGGGCCTAAGGGGTGCAGCTGTGCTCTCTAGGCAGCATCCGACCCCATGAGTTCCTGTGGGACATCCCAAGAAAGCATTTTGGAAGCGTTCCCTGAATTGCAGCCCCCCTCCCGCCCCTAAGTGCAAACGCTGAGCTTGCCGTTTTGCCATCAGCAACACAGGCAGGTGCAGCAGCTGGCTTTTGTGGGAACACCTGTGATCAAGTCCTACATTCTTGGGGAGGAGAAAACTGCTCCTTGGGTGAAGGCCACTTTTCCAAATATCAGTTCAGTGGCATATTGTCCACACGATACCAAGCAAAGAGCCAGATCGGGGCACGGTGTGTCTGTGTGTACAGTTTGCAGGTCCTTCTGGCCGCCAGATGTGACTTCAGAACGGCTCTCCGCCCTCCTCCGGGCACAAGGGGTGCTTGCCCTTCTGACTTGCACTGGCGGGGCTCAGACTCCATCCACAGCTGTGCTGTGTGGACTCAGCCACTGCCACCTGCTAGCCACCTTGTATAGAGCGTGTACTACATGAACCCCACCAGTTACGGCATGCTCGGCAAACCACGGCACCGTCCTTGGCGCGACCCTCAACCCCAGCTTTCAGGATAAGACAGCTGGCTTAATTTTGTTCTGGAAACTCTTCTGTTTCCTGAAAATATCTGTCTCTTAAAAAGAGGTTTCTGTTTTTCCATCTGATCCTCGGGGTGTTTTAGAATCCTGGCTTGCATCGTCGCTGCAAGGTCGGCTGTTTTTTTCTGTGAGGCATTTCTTCGGGCAGAATTGTCTCGCCGCTGCTTTTACCCTCCCTGTTCTGAAAAGCTCCCTTGCTGCCAGGTTGCCCCGCCCCCAAGAGTGGCATAGTGAAGCCTCAGGAAAAGGGGTCTGTAGTAGCCCCGCCAGGGCCTTTCCTCACACGCCCCGGCCGCCTCGCGTCTCAGGAAAGGGCAACAGCGCTCACCTGTGCCCTGGGGGGAAAGCCCCGAGATCGGACCGGGAGAGCGGCTAAAACCAGAGCAGAAGAAACAAGTGGCTCTCTGAAAGCAGTCGCATCCGGGCTCTAATGCTGCGGTCGGTCCGCTTGTGCCAACACGAGCAAGCGCGAGCCTCGCTGCCGGGGTGTGCTTTGCAGGCGCTCTCCCTAACCCTTGGGGCAACCTCCACCCCCCCTAGATGGGAACTGGGCCAAGCGGAAGGAAAGGGGCTGCGTTTCGCTTCTGCTGCTGCGCCACAAACAGCCCGTTCCATCGGCCTGGCGGTGTGCTGAACGGCCCTTTAGAACAAACTCGCTTCTGTGGTCTTTCCGAAGATGTGAATGAATTGCAAGTGCGGAGCCCGGTGGAGCTTTCCGGCCAAGGGTGTTCTGGGTCCCGCCACTCCTGCTGTTTTCTTGAAGGGCGCCAACGGCTGGCTGGCGAATGGAGGACGGAGCTGAGTTACGTTAGTTTTCTGTTTGACTCAGGGGATCAGCTCCGTGAATTCCATTGCGCGAGGACGGCCGGCGGCTGCCTGATAATGAATGTACCTTTTAAGATGTCTTTTTTAACGTTTTGCTTATAATGTGGATTTTAAAAAAAAACTCCTTTGATAGCCTAGTGAACGTTTACCGTGTGTTCCTCCCTCACCCCTCACCCGTTCCCAGGCTTGTCCTAATGTTAGCACAAACATCATGCCAAAAATGCGTAGAGGTTTAAATGCCAAAGTGTTTATGGAACTGCTGTCTTACACAGATGGATTGCACAGTCGAAATAAAAGTTTCCTGTAGTGACCGCTGGCCTGTGTCCCCCGCGGGGCGCCTGTCTTCTTTCCCGG